AACTTTTTTTTTGGATTCAGTAAAAAGTTATAAAATTAACATGATTCAGAGATTGTGGCAAAAAAATAGTATGACATTTTATTAAGAAAAAGTTTATACGATGATGTCATATACTGAAACTGTTATGAATTTAACCGCATGTAATAAATTATCAAGTCTGAGGATTGCGGCTAACATTATACAGACTCCGAGAACCAAAAAAAAATGGAGATGGCAAGCTTCGACTAAAACATGAATTTTAAATTTAATGGTGTGCATTCATTATATAGTTTTAATCAATAAAATTTAGTCCAAATGTTTTTTTTTAAACATTTCTTATGAACACAAATTGTCTCAGCAGTTTGGGATCTCTTTAAAAAAAAAAGTCATTGCATTTTGGGAATTTTAAACCAATCGGGACTTCCGCGTTATACGCAGTGCCATTGGGCTGGCTAGTTCCCTGATATATATATATATATATATATATATATATATATATATATATATATATATATATATATATATATATATATATATATATATATATATATATATATATATATATATATATATATATATATATATATATATATATATATATATATATATATATATATATATATGGGGGCCTAAATGAAATAAGACTCGGCATCAGTGATGTGCAGTTTTCTTTGCAGGTTCTGATACAGGCAATCACATCTTCAGCAAATGCTTTCTTGGTAGTCATTATTTTATATAGATATTTTTTAATTGTATGGTAATAGATGCTTGTCACACAACAACTTCCTTTTACTCTTCTATAAAATATTTTAGCACGCTGGATTAACTCATAAATTGTATATTACCTATATTTAAAGTGGTCTAGGGTGAACTTTTTTCATTAGATTAATGGGATAAATAAAGTTTGTGTGCCAAGAGTGTTTGTGTGATTGCCTTTGAGGCATATTTAAAATATTTTAATTATAAAATAATCTTTTCCTTTTAGGAAAATGGTCTCAAGCAAAAACAAAACAAAAAGTATTAAGTGTATACCGCTACTCAAGATCCTTAGTACCGAGCAGTACCAAGGATTAAGTAAGAGGCGCTCATTTTAAGTAGTAAGTTTTATTCACTTTCGATAACTCTGAAATATAGAAAGCTGCAACAATCAAATAAAATTGTGCTTTGACAAGATTGATATATATATATATATATATATATATATATATATATATATATATATATATATATATATATATATATATATATATATATATATATATGTATATATATATATATGTATATATATATATATATATATATATATATATATATATATATATATATATATATATATTCACGTCTTTGCTTCTAACAAGGCTGCAAACAACCACTATAAGTGTTGGAAGCTACTGGAATAGAAAAGATGAAGATTGTAGAGCAATGTAACGATTGACAGGTGACTTAAAAGATTGCAAATACAAAGAATCAGGAAAGCAAGATGAAGGAAGTGAATTCCAAAGAACTGATGTTTAAGGAAAAAAACTATAGGAGTAAGCCACAGAAAAAGGATGAGACTTGATTGAATGAGGAGTAACACGAGAATGAATTTTAGTTGATGGCATAAGAGATGCTAGCTCTTTAAAGCAGTGCCCATTGTAGAAAAGAAAAAGAGACGCAATGTTGCGACAATGTGATAACATTATCACATTGTCGCAACATTGCTTAAGCAAGCCAACCAACAATCATTTGATTGTAGGTTGGCTGCAAGAGCAGGTCCAACTATGTTTACAATGTCTTTTGTCTACAAGAGAAAGGGCATCAGTAAAAGATTCACTCCAGATATGGCAACAGTATTCCATATAAGGAGGGGTTTGAGATTTATAAAGATAAAAAATAGAATCCTGAGTAAGAATGTGTTAAGCTCGATAAAGAGATGCAACCTTAGCAGATGCTAATTTTTCAATGGATTTGATATACAATTTCCAAGAAAGATTGGAAGTAAGATTTAATCCTAGAAGATGAAGGGTAGATGACTCATCGAGTACATTACTGTTCATAAATATAGAAAGATCTAACTTATTGCGATAACAATTGGTTGGTAAAACAAAAGTTTTTTTTTCTTAAGTTTTTTTTAAAACATTTGTTTTTTAGAATGTAAGTAAATGTTTTTTCTAAAACATTTACTTACATTTTTTTTTTTCGCAGTCACAACACTTAAATTGTAAATAGTTAATAAATAGACAAGTTATACCAAATAAACCTAATATCTTTATTTGTTTGTAGCCTTTTTTATATAAATATTGGCGCTAATTTACATCTCTACCCCCCTATTTTTATTTTTGATTATGATAGAGAATTTTATCCTGATTAAGAATCGTATAAAAACATAGGTCTGAAAATTAACAGAAAGTGCTCTAATTCGATGTTGAAGTTTAAAAAATTACACTAAAAAACGAATATATTTGCCAATTTTTAAAAACGTTTTATTTCAAAGTTTACATTTAGAAATCGATCATATAGAAAATCTTTTTTTAATTATCCAATCCAGTTTTTATTGTTGCCAAAATTAAATTATATTTAAATTAAAATAAACTTTTTATGAAAATATGTTTTTTATTAAACTTTCAAAAATTAATTAAAGATATTGCTTTTTAAATGTGCATAAATCGACTGACAAATGGATTGGCGCAATTAAATGTACATGTATCAACTGATAAATAGGGATTGGTGTAATGGAATGTTCATACATAGACTGACATATAGGGATTGGTGCGATTAAGCGTACATGATTTGTGACAGGGTTAGGGTTTGGGCCAGAAATCAATAAGAAAATGATAAGGTACGCATTTTTTAACCGTTTTGCTTTAAATTGTTGATAGAAACCAGGCTTTTTAAAAGTCATCTTATGAAAGGATTTTAATTATAATCGATAATAATAATCGAAAAATAATAATCGAGTATGAAAAAATGGCGAATATTAGTATAATTTTTTAAACTTCAACATCGAATTAGAGCACTTTCTGTTAATTTTCAGACCTATGTTTTTATACGATTCTTAATCAGGATAAAATTCTCTATCATAATCAAAAATTAAAATAGGGGGGTAGAGATGTAAATTAGCGCCTAAATATTTGTGTGTACCTACCAGTCACATAATACTCTTTAGAATATTTTTACTAACTTTGATGTTATATATTGCATCTCTATGCAAAAATGAAATTATTAAACAGCTACAATAAAAGCAACTTATTCAAGTCTATTTGTGTTTTTTGCAAAACTTTCAACAACTTGAGAGTATTTTAAATATAAATTGAATAAAAAAATGAAAATCTGGTTTGATTTTTAAGAACAAGTTGTATTAAATATTTTTCTTTTTTTTTTTTTTTACTTTTTTATGTTTCTATATAAGGGTGCCAACCATAAAGTTGCGGTCATAAAAAAATATCATACTATATATAATTTTTAGTATTTTCAAGGTATATTTTAGCAATACTAAAAAAATCTATATCACGTTTACAAATCTTTTAGTTTTTCTTTTGACAATTTAAATATAAAGAAAAACATTGAATAAGATTGAATAAATAAAAACATTGAATAATAATAAAACATTGAATAATAATAAAAAACATTGAATAAGATTGAATATGACAATTTAAATAAAGAAAAACATAAAATGCGTAAAAAATATCTCTATCAAATTGCAATATTAAAGTTAAGCTCAATAAATCAATATATCAAATAATGATTGTTTGTTTTTTTAGTTTTCTGAAAGTGGTGAAATTCTTTATAAATGGCTAAAATTTAGTCTTTAGCCTTTTCTGTTAACAATAAAACATCACATAGCTAACAATAGAGTATTAACACCTCTTGTTTTAAGAATTTCATTAAATATTTGAAGTAAGTAGAAGGGAGATCAGTCCTAATCATTACTTTTTGCATGTTTGAATGAGCCTTGTAAGCCTTAAAAAACAGTTTCTACTAGTCTTTTGCATTTCTCAAAGACAAATTAAAATGCTGTAAATATTGAGTCATACAAGAAAAATTCTTTTATCTTTTTTAAAGAAAAAAACAAACATTTTTTGCATTTAGTTATATAAGCAACAATGTTTGTTAAACCTTTGGCACAAGTTGTAACAGCAAAGATTAATTATTTGGCATTTCCCCCAGAAAGCAGTTTAAACTTTTCCTATATAAATATAGCTATAGTTTTGGCTAAAATCAAAGTGAAAGTTCACTATCTATAATTTTATTTGTTTGGCAAGGGTAAACAGGTACTTGGTGGTGTTTAATTATATGGTGAATTTGAAATTGCAGAGGTCTTTCTGAATATTTAAGTTTTGAGCTAGACAAAGTGTGCAAAATTTTTTAAAGTTTATTTTGATACTAAATTTCTCGCTCTTCCTTTCATATTGTCAAACTGATCTTTTCTTTTTTTTAACAAAAAAACTTTTAATTCATATTCAATATTAGGTATTCATTTCAACAAAATTGCTTTTGTTAAATATTTTTTAATTAAAAAATATAAAACTTTAGTTGTATAAAATTACATTGGTTACAATAGTTGCATTTTCACAGTTAAAAATTACATTTTTTTAATTTAAAAATATACAAACAAAAATTAAGTTTTATCTGAGATTTTAAAAAATAAAAAAAGTTTAAAACAACTTCGTGATAAGATATATAGTTTTTACTATCAAAAAATATTAAAATGGCTACCAGATTATAAATATCTTTTATACATGCATTAAGATGATTCAATAAGTAAATACATTTTTTTTTTAGATTTACTAATGTGTCTGTTAATTAGTTTTAAAAAATCTGCCCATAATATTCAAATTCAATATTTTTGAAAAGTGACAGTTGTATGTGGAATGAGACACTGTATTAATAAGACTTATCACTAAAGGAAATACATTTATATAGTAAAAGTTTTATGACATCTTCTTGTATATAGTGTTATTTCTAGAATTTGCAAGATCTTTCTATAACTTTTTCTATTAAGAGGTTTATGTTTAAATTATTGTTATTTTTTTTTTTAGTTTATAACAGCAGATCAACTTGCAGGGTCAGGAGTTAAACCATTATCTCCAACTAACTCAGAATCAGATGGTAAAATTAACATATATTAGGGTATTAAATGTTTTATTAAATTTTGATAAATTGTGAAAAAAAAATGTTTTTGAAATTAGCTTCAAAAGGTGTAAAGAGACGTAAAATGACAGATGAAGAAATTATGGCTAAGCTCAGTAAGTTTATTTTTCAATTTAATAAAAAACATACTTAAATATACATGCAGAAGTAAAAGTAATATATACATATATACATTATTAAATTAGCATTTATGCTTATAATTAAATTAACATTTATATTAATCAATTAGGATTATGAACTTATTTTTATATAAAACTTTTAGGGACCATTGTTACTGTAGGTGATCCTAATAAAAAATATTCAAAATTTGAGAAAATTGGTCAAGGGTATGTATTGAATATATTTTTTTTGTTTCTTTTATTTGGTACCCTTTGAACCATTCATCTGATGTTCTTTGAATCAAACAACAGTCATTTTATTTGACTATTGCAGATGGTTTACTGTGACTGTATCAAATAAATTTGAGAATTGCCCACATGTAAAGATAACTGCATTGCTTTAGAACATAGTTGAAATTTATTCATTTTGTTTTGTTGTTTCTTTGGATTATTTTTTGCTGTTGTTATTTCTTGAGATTTTTTTTTTTTTTTTTTTTATAAAATAATATAGTTTAAAGCAAATCAATTAGTTTGAAAGTGTATGTTTTAGTCAATCAGACATTCATCAATTACAAAATACTTTATTTGATATTTTTCAATAAAAAATATACATGAATATAATGTGTGTTTAAAAAGTACAGCAACTTTTCTTATTTTAGGGACAATTTTTTGTGTTGGTACACATGTCCCAAACATTTGTTTACAGTTTCAAAAAATTGCATATTGTTTGTTTAGATGTGCTTTAGTGTGCTTGGTGAAATGTTAGATGTGCTTTAATGTGCTTGGTGATTATCTTCTGTATAACAAAAAAATTTATAAAAGATTTTGCATCATATTTTGGGCAAAAAATAGAGTTATGAACTCCATGTTGACATATGGTTAGTCTGTTCTAAAGCATAACATTGGTAGGCTCATGTCATGCAATTTTTAAGGATATTTTGAGTATAAGTTGGTTGCAAAGTTGCTTGTTTTAGATCAGAGGAACCGCTGCATGTGTTTTACCTGTTGAATGACATAAATGATAATCTTGATTTGCTCAAAACATAACTGGCATTTTATGGGGATATAATTATGATGTTGAAACCTATGCCTTACTGTTCCAATGGAAATAACCAGGAGAGCCATTACTAATAAAAAGCACACTAATTTCAGACTTGGTCGGAAAGCAGGTGTGATCGCACTTGATAATTGACCACGGAAATAATATTTAGTTGCTAAAAACCATCCAGATTTTTTAGTCATTTTGAGAACATTTAAGTTTATGTATGTTTCCTTGTTTTTCTGCAAAATAATAATTAAGTTCATCAATTTATCGTAAATTTTAAAATATTTTGTTTTATGGACATACACGGAAACATACATAAACTCGAATGTTTTCAAACATCTTTGTGCGGAAAAATAAAAAAGAATATTCGCGAACACAAAAAACCTGCCAATCTGTGAACAACTAATTCTATTGGTTTAAAAATACTAACCGAAATTCTAGGGTATTTAAATAATACTAACCGAATGTTCTAGAGTATTCTGTTAAAATATTTTTTAAAATTGTATTATTTGAGTTTTGTTATGATTTCACTGAGATTTCTAGCATAAATTGCTTTAAGAATATACTATCAAGTGAACTATTTTATATATAACTATTTTAATACTATGGCTCATTCTCGGAGCCACATCTACAAAGCTATAAATGTTATAAACTAATATTATTTGTTTACAAAAATAAGTGTTTTAAATTTATATTTTTTAACTTGTCAACATTTTGTAAATATATTATAGGTTTTATTAGAATATTCTTTTTTTTTATATAAGGGATGTATTTTTTATGTATGTAATGTATTTTTATGTATATATTTTTTATGTATATGTATTTTGTTCTAATTAAGTTCGAAGAGCTTAAGTTTTAAAGCTCTTCGAAATAGGTTTACTAACTTCAACTTTTTTTGCTTCAGCCATTCTTACAAAGTCGTTTTACTTAAACTCAAAGTTACTTTTTTCTGTTTTAAATACTAATTAAAATTATAAAGCCCACTCACTAAAGATCATCAGCAGTATTGTGAAGCAGTTTTGCTTCCTCCTCATAAAATAGTTTGACATTTTTAGTTAATTTCTATCTAGTTGATTGAATTTCTACAGTAACTCAATTATTTAATTATTTTATTTGTTCATCTTACTAAGAAGAATTGTTTCAAATGTGTTAAGTAGTTAATACATTAAGTAGAAATACATTAAGAGAAATAGTTTACATAAAATTTTTTATTTATTTTTTAAACAGAAAATCCATAATGGCGGAAAATGTGTTAATTTTGACCCTTAAAAATAATGTTTTTAAAACATGATATCTTGATAAAATTTAAAAAAATTGAAAATACTTTTGCACATATGTATGTTATTATATTATACTCTGGATGACGCTTAGGATCCTCCCCTTTCCTTCTCAATCCAGCACTGGAAATAAGACAAGTATATAAATAAAAATTATATATACTCTTTGATAAATCGAAGAACATTTGTTTCCTTATTAAACAATCATTAATAATAAGTTGTTACTTTATATAAAAAATGTCGCTAAATTTTATTTAAAAAATTATAAAAGAGCGACGTTTCAAAAATATTTGCTCTAATCATATTTATTTTGCTTAAAGTTTTTTCGCGTTAAAAGCTATTTCTCTTTTTTTAACTTTCTCTCATCGGTCCAGTTAATCTTATTGCGCTTTTTTGTTTATTTTTGAAATGTTCTTATAACGACTAAAAAATCTGGCTGGTTTTTTGCACTAAATATTATTTCCGTGGTCAATTATTGAGTGCGATCGCACCCGCTTCCCGACCAAGCCTGTAATTTCAATTAAAAATCAAGGTTTTGCTCCCCGTTTTTTTCTATTATTATGGTGTAGTTTATTAGGAGTTCTTACCACAAGGTTGTCAATGAGAAGTTTTACTCTGAAGTTATGTGTCATTTACAAAATCTGGAATTGTGAATATCTTGAAAGTCTAGAATTGTGGAAAAACAAATCATGGTTTTATCTCAATAACCTTCTCACTTATCATTGCTTGTGTATGATATATACACTTGTGAAATATATTTTTTTGATAAATACAAATAAATACGGCATTGCTGGAAGAACTCAAAGCTATACTAAAGAGTGTTTATTAGAATTTCCCCAAAGATTGGAAAAAGCGTTAGCAAAAGTGTATTATATAGGAGAAGGGTTACTTTGAAGTAGGTGACTTGAATAATGAACAATAAATACAATTTTTTTTTTTATAAAAATATTAGATCACTTTTTGAATGCAACTTTTATACTAAGTTAGATGTTTAAATATGACATTTCTACAATTTAATTTAAAAGTGATATTTATGAAGTCATGTAATTTACATTTTTATTAGATATTATTCTAATTTATTTCATTTAAAATAATCTATTACAATATTTCAAAGCTTGTTAACACTAATTACACAAATAGTATAACTAAATTTGACTTTTTTATAAGAAAGTTTTTTATTTTTACTTGAATGAAATATTGTGATGCAAATTCTTAAATGATAACTGCAAACAACCAAAAACATGTTACCGACCCTCGGAATTAGGGTCGGTAAAAAATTGCTGACCTCGTTTCTATGTTTTATGGTTACCCCTTTGTATCAATTTTTTTTTGCTGACCTAATGCCGACCTTTAACAATTTGAGGTCGGCAACAATATGCTGACCTCATTTTTTCTAATTCCAAGGGTTGTGTTTCAACAAAAAAATGTATTCAAATTTTTGATTTAAGTACATCTAACTTGGTAGAGCTAACATTCAAGATCCTTTAAGTGAAGAAAAAGTGAACTAAAGTTTTAATTCTGGGCAACAGCTATTCAAGTGAGATAAGGGGTTATTCATGAATTACATCACCCTCTAGGAGGAGAGAGGGGTTAGTGGTTTTGTGACGACTTGTATGGGACTTGTTATTAAAGAGTTACAATTTTGTGATGAGGGGAAGGGGTCAGAAATAGTCAAAAATTGTATGAAAATATTAGTGGACAACCCCTAAGCAGACATGTGAATGATGTTCAATAAATAAATGGTAAGCAAGCCAAAAATAATTTTAGACTTGTTGAAATATGAAAGTTTATCATTTATTGTTATCTAAACATAAACTGCGTAATGAAATGATAGCATTATGTTATACAAAAAAAAATTGTAGTAAAACTCTGTAGCGAAAAGGAGAGCAGTGGTTTTACTAGATTAATAAACCAAAATCAATCATCACTTTTTACTTCTAGTAGAAAGAAATTTTTGAAAAAACCTTGAGTTAATGAATAAAGTTTACACTTTTAAAGTTTACACACACACACACACACACACACACACACACACACACACACACACACACACACACACACACACACAGAAATTTAGGAATAAATATGTGATTAAAATCTCATTTTAAGTTTAGAATTTAGAGATATTAATTGTTGATATATATATATATATATATATATATATATATATATATATATGATATAAGAATATTAATTGTTGATATATATATATATATATATATATATATATATATATATATATATATATATATATATATATATATATATATATATATATATATATAATTGTTGATTTTTTTTAGTGCTTCAGGTGTTGTGTTTACAGCAATAGAAGTTGCTACCGGAAATGAGGTGAAAATAATTTATAATATAAATATTTAAATATCTTCACAATTTAACTTATTATTATATTTATTTTTAATTTTTTCTCAAATTTTATTTTAAATAGGTGGCAATTAAACAAATGAATCTGTCCCAACAGCCTAAAAAAGTACTATACTTACTAAGTATTTTTATATTAAATTAAATTTTTTTTTTTTTTTATCATTGTGTTGAATTATTTATGAATTCTGTTTTACTAAGCATTAAATAACTTTTATCTCAACTGTTTCTCTGTGCAGTGACATTCAAGGTTCATGTTAACAAAAAAGAACATACTAAGAGACATTTCTCGGAATTAAGGTCAGCATTTGGCAATTCCAACCTAGCTGCCGACCTCAAAGTGTTTAAGGTTGCCAAAAAATCGCTGACCATGTTTCCATGTTAAAATATGTATGCTTGGTAACTTCTTTGAGTCAAATTTTTTATGCCAACTTGATACCGTTTTTCTAACATTTTTCCTCATTCCGAGGGTTGAATAGGGAGGTGAATATGAATTAAAAATATTTTTATATATATATATATATATATATATATATATATATATATACATACATACATACATACATACATACATACATACATACATACATACATACATTCATACATTCATACATTCATACATTCATACATGCATACATACATACATACATACATACATACATACATACATACATACATACATACATACGTACAGTACATACAGTAGAATAACGTTAACCCTGGATAACTTGGACTTTTACACACAATTTTATGTCACCAAATAATTGCTGACCTAAAATTGTTTAAGTTCGGCACATAATTTTGAAACAAGGTTTGACAAACTAGCAAACCTTTATCATAAAATTTACAGAAAAACACAAACTGAGTAAGCCGACTTTTCTTTAAAACGTCAACATTTGCTTAAAAATTTTGAAAACAAACAAAAGTTTTACCAATTTTATTTTAATCATCTTATTTAATATTAATAAAACATTAGTTTTTCTGATTTTATTTTAATTGTTTTGTTTACAATTAAAATAAATGTTTCATTTTTAGAATTTAAATGAACCATTTGTTTTGCCTTTATATTTTTGTTATTTTATTAGGAATTTAAAAAATAAAAAGTTTACTTATATTCATTTTTATTGTCATTATTTTATTTAGAATTTATATAAAAACAAATTTTTCTTTTTTATTGTAATTATTTTGTTGTTAAAAGTTAAAATAAATTAAAACGTTCAGTTTTTTGTTATAATTTTGATCAGAATTTTTAATTTATTTAAATTTCTTTAACCTTTCCTTAAATCTTTATGATTTAGGAATAGTTTAAATTTGAATTTTTTAAGACTATTCTTAAAATCTTTGTTGTCTAAAATAAACAACCAAGATTTATAGCAACAATATTAATGAGTGTCTTTGCGAGAAAACCTAAGCACAAAAACTCACATTTTGTAACTTAACCCTTAAACCACTGAAATAGAAATAACTTGACTTTTATCATGAGAAAATTCTCAATAAGAATAATCAAAATAATCAAACTACACGTCAGAACATGTTCAAAAATGCTGTCATTTGTAGGAAATTTTACTTATGAAAAATGACTTTAGTGGTTAAAACCGAATTTGAATGAATAGTATTATATTTTAGTGATGACCGTCTATAGATGGCCTTAATGCTTTAAGAGTTGTTTGTGCATAAGTATTGGTTTTTATTACTACTTTCACATGTATTTTTAGTTTTTATTAAAAAAATAAATTAACAAAAACAACCAATAATTAGTTTTTTAAGAGATATGTATTGATTTAACTTCTGTTAAAAATAATACGGTGATGACTATTCATATGGCTAAAGGTGCCACAAATGCAGCACTGCATTCATACACAAGCCACAAATGCAGCACTGCATATATACACAAGCCAAAAATGCAGCACTGCATACATACACAAGCCACAAATGCAGCATTGCATGCATGCATACATGCATAAATACATACATACACACATATTTAGATATATGTATGTATATATTTATCGATATAAATAAATATATTGTGTATAATATTTTCTACCAAATTTTTATAGGAGCTTATCATTAATGAGATTCTTGTTATGAGAGAAAATAAACACCCTAACATTGTTAACTATGTTGATAGTTATTTGGTTGGAGATGAGTTGTGGGTTTGTACACATTAATTAAATGTTCAAATTTTTTTTTTTTTTAATTTCTCTTTTTTTTTTAAGCGGTTTATTTGCATATAAGTTGTCAATTTATTTGCATATAGGTTGTTATGGAGTTCTTAGCTGGAGGATCTTTAACAGATGTTGTTACTGAAACATGTATGGATGAAGGTCAGATTGCTTCTGTTTCAAGAGAGGTAAATGGAGCTTATATTTCTAGAAATTATTACTAAGATATTAAAAGTTTCTTTTGTACTTTTAACAATTATTTTAGTGCTTGCAAGCTTTAGACTTTTTACATGGTAATGGTGTCATCCATCGTGACATTAAAAGTGATAATATACTTCTTGGGCTTGATGGTGGTATCAAATTAAGTAAGTTTATATGTTATTTTAGTTAAGTTTTTTGTCTGTTTGTTTCTTTATTCTAAATCTCCAGGGAAAGCCACTAGTCAAGAAAGCCTAATTTATTTTTTATTTGCAACTCTTTTTTCACTTTAAATTCCATAGCATGAACCTTTGACAAGTTGGCTGTGGATAGTAACAGGTTGAGCGCTGTACTATCAGAAGCTTAGGGACTTGAATCTTGAACTTCTGGATTGTGAGTTGAGTGTTTTACCACCAGTCTACTACAGCATATCTATACAATAGTTTATGTGTTGAAACACATAAGTTAAAATAAGTTTATGTATTGCAAGTTGATCTATTCATTGTTTAACTTTATATGCTTATTTACAAACCAAAATTTCTTTTTTTGTATGACTAATAGGTTTATTTATTACCGAAGAATTATTTTCTTTAGCTGATTTTGGTTTCTGTGCCACAATTACACCAGAGCAATCCAAAAGATCAACCATGGTTGGAACACCTTATTGGATGGCTCCAGAAGTTGTCACGCGCAAGCAGTATGGTCCAAAAGTTGATATTTGGAGTTTAGGCATCATGGCTATTGAAATGATAGAAGGAGAGCCTCCTTATCTTAATGAAAATCCTTTAAGAGTGAGTTATAAATAATGCTTTGTTATTAAAATATTTTATAAAAAAATGTTTTAAAAAATATTTATAATCTTATAGGCTTTATATTTAATTGCTACAAATGGAACACCTGAACTACAACATCCAGAACGTTTATCTCCTGTTTTTCGAGATTTTCTTAACAAAACATTGGAAATGGATGTTGATAAACGACCTGCTGCTCGTGAACTGCTAATGGTAATTTGAATTTTTTACAAAATGTATGCATGTCTTATATGTGTTTGAGAGAGAGTGTAAATTAACATTTTCATTAACTGACACTTTTTTAACATCTTTTTGCGTTCTAACTCTGTACACCCTAAAGTTAAAAATATTTACACCATAAAACTAAAACTTTATATACTATAACACTAAAACAATTTTACACTATGAAACTTAAAATTTGTACACATAAAACAAAATATAAAAACTATTATCTATATTATAATAATTTTTTTGTGTGTGGTAAATGTACACATCTACTTTAAGTGGAACTAAGAAATTAAAAAATTAAGAAAATAAATCCATTAAATACAAGACACGTGTTAGATGTCTTAAAGTCGTAGACCACTAATTAGATCAAATCCTTCAAAAATTACATTTTAGATATTATTTACATCTAAATTGATTAAAATTTATTCTTCAATGATAAAGTTTAAAAAAATGCTAAAAAATTTTTGGTTTCAGAAATTTAGTCTTAGGAACCCCAAAATATCATTATTTCGTTGCTGTGATTATCTCAAAAACTATTTGTGCTATTAACTTGAAATTTTCTAAATTTACTTTTAATACAATAAAGAAGACCCTGTCCTAAAGTCAAAAAAATATACCAATCATATATATATATATATATATATATATATATATATATATATATATATATATATATATATATATATATATATATATATATATATATATATATATATATATATATTAATAAAAAACACTTAAAGATCAAAAGTAAGGCGTTTTTCACTTTATTTGGACTTATAAATCTTTGAATCGAATTATCATATTGTCATAAAAGTTGTATAGGATATCCATAAACACGAAAGGAACATTTCTTGGATATTTCATGGAAATCGATTATCAAAAATTTTTGAGATTCACCGCCAAGTCGTGAATTTTAGAGAACTGAGAAAAACACATTTAAACAAAAAAAGCAAAAAATTCTTCAAATAAAAATAAAAAATTTACACAAAGATCCTATTGACAAATATCAACTTATATTAAAAGTGTTGTGGATTAAAAGTAGAGCAAATTATTAAAAAAATTGTTTTCAAAGATAGTTTAGATTAACCGGCAGATTATTATTTTCAAAGTTTCATTGAAAGAAAAAAAAGATTGTCTCACTTTTGATTTTTAATTTAGTTTCAATAAAAAACTCCTATTAGTTTTATGTCAATAGTTAATACTAGTAAATAAATATCAAGTATATATGAACTAAAATTGTTATGCACCATAAAAGTTGTCATTTACTACTGTATGCTCAATATAATTTAATTTTTTGGAATGTAAACTCATTTCATTTCTTCAGCTGCAGCATTGATGCTAGCTTTAGCTATGTAAATATTATAATTTCTTTATTTAACAAGTTAAAAAATTTCTCTATGGTATCAAACATGTTTATAAAACCACAAAACTTTTCTATACTACGGTATTCTTTAGCTATCTCTCAAAAAGCTATTATTGTACATAAATAAAAATCAAATGTTCATTGCTGCTGGTTTGCTTATAGTTTTGATAGAATAAAACTTCTGAATGAAATTAGGAGACAGTGTTTATAAACCATATTGTTTTGAGCAACATAAAAAGTTATAATTTAAAAGTTACATTGCAGAAAAGTTTTTACTGCAAACAATGGCAACTATTATTTTATCTCATATGTCGGTATTCATAAATATGTAGCAGTCATTTGTAACATTGAATTTATCATAATTAGCACAACTGTTCTTTTTATTTACAAAACCGTTATTTATAATTTTTACAGGTTATTTACTTAATTATTTATTATGTAAAAATTAAATCGTATGTTAAAAAAGAATGTCTACTTAAAACTTATGAATGTCTACTCAAAACTTAAAAAAAGAATGTCTACTTAAAACTTAAAAAAAAGAATGTCTACTTAAAAAAAAAAATTATTGTGATCAATAATTTCATTCCAACAACTCACTTTAAACTAATTTTATGTGCATCAATTCAAATTACATGTTTTGATTTTGTGCAGTACATGTATATTGTACAATGCAATGTTTTTCTGTTGAGGTTCATGTCTGAAGATGTTTTGCACACCTTTAACTCAAGAACCAATTGAGAACCACATGAAGCCATAGCTTCATCCCAAATGTGCATAAAACCAGTATTACTACTTGCCTCATGTCAACAAGTTTAAGAAAATCATATTTGGCACAAGTCTCAAATAATGGCAAAAAAATATATAAAATAAAGTTTTTATTAAAAGTCTTTTAGTCAGGGTTGGCAAAAACCCGGTTTTTTTTTAAAAAAAACCTGCCCCAGTGGGTTTTTTTGGGTTGTATTTTTTATTTTGTCTCTGTAAATTTTGTTTTTTTGTGTAATGATATTGAATGATAGTTTTATTTTCTACTTTAACTTTATTTAAAATATATTTTATATAATGTTATTTAATAATTTATAACAAGAATTTTTCAAACTATTTAAAAAAAAATTTACGTTAAATCTATATGTATTGATTTATTTTAAATTTAAAAGTATTATTCTATGTAATTAAAAATGTCAATAAGAAATGGGAAAAAGAAGGCTAGAGAATGAGAGGTAGTAACTGAAGTTTCAATTAAACTTTGAACTTGAAATGAACAAACTTCAAATGAACAAACTTGTTTCTCCGCACAGCGGCCTTGTTTATAAAGGTTCGTGTTTAGGAGTTGAAGAGTTGAGGGAGGGTTATAATCGCAATAAAGTAACCTCCTTGATTTTAATGGTCTTCTCTAGCCACTACTACTCATTTAAATTCACCTTGGGAGGTGAATTACATAAAAGATTAAAAATCTTAATCAATAAAAATATTTGAATAAAAATTGTAGTAATGTATTTCCAAATAATGATGCAAATATTAGTAAACATGCTCTGATAGCTGTTATTGTTGGTTATAATAGTTAATAATAGTTAATAACAATTTAATTAATAGTAGTAGTTAATAATTATTTTAGTTGATAATATTATAGTTATAATGTTAAAGTTGGTTATAATAGTTCATAAACTTATTAAATATCTTTAAAAAAACCCTAATAAAACCCAGCTTACTTGAGGTTTTTTAGGCGGTTTTTTTAATGCCAACCCTGCTTTTAGTAATAATAGTAATCAAAGATAATGATAATTATTGTTTATCTTTGTTGCACTTACAGTTCATGTTGTGAAATTTTTTGTTGATCGATTTTCTTATTTTTCGACGTGGCTGCATTTTATTTTTTTGATTTTCAAATATGAGGCAGCCAAAAATAGAAATTTTGATACTGCCAATATGGTGTAAGTCAGCTTACACTTTCCATTTTAGCCGATGATTTAGACTTTTTTTGAAAATTTTTATAAAGTATAAATATTAGAATCTAATATAATTTCATTAAAATATAACAAATCTAATATTTTAATGAAATATTTGATTTAAATTTTTCACACCATATACAGTTATGTTTGTATGTAAACAATGTGCGTATGTATGTTTATATGTATGTATTTATGTATGCATGTAAACAGTTGTGTGAAAAATATTACAAGTTCTACAATTACGATATTACAAAGCATCTACAAGTTAATTTCTCAGAATAAAGCATGTGTTAAAATTTTTAAAAATTTATCAAATAAAAAAAAATTATGTTGTCATTAGTTACTTTTGGAAAGTAAAAAGAATCATGAAACTTTAACTGGTTTGTTAATTTTAAGGCATGGTTTGCATGTTTTCAATACTTTTTAACAAATATGCATGGAATATTTTTTTGCAACAGGAATTTAGTGGCTATTTTTTTTTAAATATTTTATCTTTACTTGTAAAATTTGTGTGTATGCGTATCGATTATTGCGATAGCCGCTAATAACTTTAGACTTTATTTTCAGCATCCCTTTTTGCGTCAAGCCAAACCATTAGCAAGTCTTCAACCATTAATAATGGCAGCGAAAGAAGCTTCAGCACGACATGGATAGTCTTTATGTAGTAATTCTTGGTTTACATAGTAATGCAGCAAGAATCAAAGCATATACGATCTTGTAAGTAGGAACGAATATACTGATAGACATTCTAAAAATTAGATTTCAGGCAATTAATTGCTACAATATGCAAGATTCATAATAATTTGTACATACATTCGTTTTTATTGCAGACTTGAGTTCTTTTTTAACGCTTTGTATACCTTCGCTGTTTTTATAGTTCATTATATTTTTCATCAATAATAAAAGCACTTTTTTTACTTCTCTGAAACAATTCCGTTAAAATTTTTTGAAAAATAAATTTTCAAAATTTGATTGGTTTTAGTGATGAATTTGCGCGCGGTTTTATTTTCTATTTTTGAATCAAAGTTGAAAGATAAAAAATTTGTAAAATGCATAGAGCTTAATTTTTCGCACATTCTTTTCTTTTATACTTTTTGATGTTTTTATTTGAATTAATTTTAGTAAATTTTCTTTAGAACAATTTTGCGAACTTGAAATATAAAATTTAGTTAACTAGATTTTTGATCTAGTGAATTGTCAATATTTAGAATTAGTATATACGCTTTTGTTTCTTTTTTCGACACTTTTTTACGATAAAAATAAAAATTGTAAAAACTGTTGAGAAAGATTCGGAATTTTTTTAAACGATTACCAGTGCTTTTTTTTTCTGAAACGCACCGGAACAGCGTTCCAATACTGTAAACTAGTAACCTCCGCTAGATTTGAAGTCTCCCGCATTCTTTTTTTTTTTTTTTTTCATTACATTTTAATTCGCATAATTTTAATAAAAAAAAAAGAAAATTTATCACATTCCTTAACCTAACTTTACTCCATACTTGTGTATTCCCATACTATAAATGCATTTAAAAGTGTTTGAACGTATATTCTCTAACAAATTACATGTAGGTATAAAAACAATAACAGCAAAGCCAAATAAAACAATAAAATCATCAAAATATAATAAGTGCATATTTTTAACAACTAGACTAAGTTTTAAAATGCACAAATAGCATTATATTTTATCAATACGATGGTTAGGAAGGAAGCGTGGTTAAACGGTCCTTCCTGTTTAAATTCTTTTCAGCGGTGCTCTGTGAAAAGACATTACCCAGCAAACACACTACATAGGGCCAACGTTCCCAACGTCGGGCCAACGTGTGCTTGTTATCAGGATAAAAACTATTTAATAAAATACTTAATCAAAATTATCTTCTTTTAAAAAACTTTATAACAACAATTTTGACACAATTTCGGGTTAACAATATATCAATAACTAGAAATAAATCAAGTTTTTCTTAAACAGACAATAAGCAAGACAATCAAATCTATCTTGAGGTCTGTTGACATTTTTATTATCAAATTAATGCGACCTCTACAAAATATATAACTTAAGTTTAACCATTGTTTACAGTCTGGCCATTGTTTTAAAAATTAGGAGAATCACCTAATTTCCTAAGAGTCCCATTGTGTTTAGATTCTACTTCTGCAATATCAATAATTAAACATCGCATTAGTGCATCGCATTAAACGCTGCATTAGTGGCTAGTTTTATCATGCAGATTAAAAACATTTACAGTGACATTAAAAAAACTTTGACCAGAATCCACAGCAACTTTTACAACAGTAGGAAAAAGGTTAATATTTCTTTAATTGATTGTAACATGTATAAGTTCATCAATACAAAAAGTTACTCATGAAATTTTGAAATTTATACAAAATTCGTCTTTTTTACATAAAAAATATTATTTTTTAGATGGAAAATATTGTACATGAAACTTGATTTAGACTAGCACGGACTAGACGTAGTCCTAGCTACAATAGTCAATGTATAGTGGCACAAGACGTGTTTGAGACGTGTTAAAACATATTAATACGTATTTTAGAAAAATACTTCTTGTGTCCACTTTGTGGTCGACCATGAGTAGCAAATATTTGTAGTAGTAAATATTTCAACCTAAATAAATTTATTTGTCAATTTTAGTTTTTGAAAGCAACAACAAGAAAATGTCCTTAAACGCATTAGTGCAAATGCAAAAATAACGAATGACCGACAACAAAAAGCAGAAATAAACCCTATCGACAGTGTAAAAAAAAATTTGAAGACTTAAAAAAAATGTATTTGAGATCAAAAAAAAAAAAAGCTTTAATTTTCACGAAGAACTCTTCAAAAAATGTTAAAAATAATATTGAATCTACTGGGGTCCACCAGTCACATGATGGTGCAGTTTTAATTTTCTGCAATTTTTTGTGTGACTTTTCTCATTAAAAATATTCGAATATTCAATAACTTCTTTGATTAGTTTTATTAATTAATTGCAAAAATATATTTTATTAATTTTTTAAATCTCTTACTAACTTTTATTATTTTTATCATCTGGAATTAACCAACTTAAATAAAATTCTAGTTTAATTTTATTTATAAAAATTAAATACAGTAATAAATGTCTATAACTGTTTCAAATAAAAATAAATTGAGTAATTACACAAACAGTATAATAGTATTAGTAATTTACACTTTTTGAGCTATGATTATACTAGATTGTTAAATGATTTATATGTTAAGTATAGATTGTTATATAATTTATATTTGTGATTTGTTATATGAATTAGTGTGAAAATTAAATTTGTGTAGCAAATTAAATGCAGATGAGATGTTTATCTGTTGTATGTCTGTTATATGTCTGTTGTTCTTTTTATTTTTTATTTTTTTGTTCTTTTTATTACATTTTAAATAAGCATTTTGTTTCTATATTTAAAATACACATAAATAATAATATATATATATATATATATATATATATATATATATATATATATATATATATATATATATATATATATATATATATATATATATATATATATATATATATATATATATATATATATATATTTATATATATATATATATATATATATATATATATATATATATATATATATATATATATATATATATATATATATATATATATATATATATATATATATATATATAATGATCGTTACTAAATAGTAAAAGAACGCGGGGACTCGTATAAGACCATACGGTCTTTTCGTCTAGTACCGCTAAGAAATAAAAATAAAAATTTATAAGATATTTACAAGATAAAAAAATAAGTAACGAAGTTAGAAATTTAAAGTATTCCGTTACAAATGCAAGATAAAATATTACATATAGGGTAATTTTTATAAATTCATGTTTAAATAGAGGTAAAAAAGACAATCACTAAAAAATTTCAAAAGTATATTGTTAAATCTTCGATTGTAAAAATGAGTTCTTTAAGCTTTCGTTTAAAAGAAAAGTATTAGTAAAAAACTTTGATGTATAAAATCCTCAGTATATTTTTTAAAAATATTTATTCCATAAAAATGGTCCGCAATAATCAATACAAAGTTTAAAAAGAATTGTTTGAAAAATGGGCTGCTTAATAAAATTATCATTGCGTAAAATGTATTTTTTTTTATCTTTTAATGAATACAAATTATGGAAAGAGATCGGGGATGAATTGGTTTTACATTTAAACATAAAACAAAGAGTATTAAAAATATTAAGCTCATATATATATTAAAAACCTTTCATTTCAAATAATAAAGGCTTGGCATGAGTATAAGTGGCTTTAAAATATATAAGAAGTGCTACATGCTTCTGCTGACAATAAGGAGTTTTAAGTTTATTTTTATTTGTACTACCCCAAGCAATGTTTGCATAGCTTATGTGACAATAAATAAATGAGAGATATTACTGTACTAAAGTATGTTTATTTAAAACATTTCTTGCTTTGTCTTTAAACTTCTTATTATCATATTATTATATTACAGTTGTAGCCGTAAAATATACATACCATATATACATACAGCGAGCAGGGAAAACACCCCACTATAAAAAACCAGTTTAATAAATATTCTTTCCGAATTTTATCCTCAACCAGTTATCTAATCTAGTTTTAAAAGAAAGTACAGTGGAGTATAAAGTTACTTGCTCAAGTAGTTCATTCCAGTATTTTGCTGATCTATTATATAATTGGTTGTGTCTTGGAAGACAGTTTGCAACATATTCACTTCTTATTTTAAGATGGTGACCAACTGACAATGAGTTAATAAATTTTGGTTGATATATATTATTAATTATATCAAATCGATGTATTAGTTTAAAAATTTGTATTAGATTGCATCTGCAATGGATAACACAGCATATTGAAATGTTTAATTTAAGTAACCAAGTGTTTGACCACTCGTATACTAAGCGTAGACGGTCCTGCAGATCAACGAAATTAGTCTGCGATGAAGTTTTAGAAAAAAGTTCAGTATCGTCTGCAAATACTTCAGAATTTTATGTAAGTTGGGCAAGATCGTTTGTGAAAAGAATAAAGAGGAGCGGGCTGAGAACAGAACCTTAAGGAACACCACTAAGAATATCAACCCAGTAAGAGCTAGTATTGTTAATTGTAACGCTTTGTTTTCTGCCTACTAAGAAGGAATTAATCCATTGTAGCAGTTTGCCGTTTATTCCGAATGATTTTAATTTTAACATGAGTCTGGTGTGAGGTACGGAATCATCAGCTTTAGCAAAGTCGAGGTAGATTACATCTATAAACTGGTGCGATGCTAGGGAAAACGAAATAATATCAAAAGTCTCTATTAGATTGGTTACACAAGACTTATGATGAAGGAAGCCATGTTGATTTGTAGAAAGGAGATTGTTATCATTGATGTACTTCAAGGTTTTATTCTTTACAACTTTTTCAAATACTTTGCATGCAACAGAGGTAAGTGAAATAGGCCGATAGTTTTCAGGAAGTAGTTTATCTCCCTTTTTTTTATAGATCGGACTAATATTTGCTAATTTCCAGAGAGTTGGTACTATTCCAGAATTGAAAGATTCATAAAAGATTTTTGTAAGCAGAATTGCGAAGCTGAACCCGTCAGGTCCAAAAGATTTGTAAGGGTTTAGATTGGTAAGTCCATTAATAATGTCTGCAATGGAAAAATCCAAATTGTTATTATAATTGCATTAAGGTGTAACTTCACTTTTATTTAACAATGGAAAATTTTCGGGGCTTTCAAGAGTAAACATAGATTTGAATTGAGAGTTCAGAGGTTCAAGTATATTGGGAAGAGTTCCAGTAATTTCACCTAAAGCATTTTTGAGAGAACGAATTTTATCTTTAATTTTTAGTTGGTTGTTAATGTATTTGTAAACGAGTTTAAGTCTTTTTCATGTAATATTTTTGCTTTAAATATTTCCGCTTTAACGGACAATTAAGACAATTGTAGTTTGTTTTGAAATCTTCCATTTAATTCTCATTCTTCCATTTAGTTGAGCAGTTGAGCAGTTGATTTATTATTAAAATATGCCGATGTTTGAAAAATTTCCTTATTTTTTCCGTATCTTTTTTTGAATATCATTTTTTAAACTACCAAATATAACTCTAAATACATTAACTCTGAATGCTTATATTTGGGGCTGGTTGGTTAAGAAATTAATCCGATGCTAACTCTCTAGGCATTGTTTTTTTTCTTTTTTTTCTTTTTTCAGCAAATTGTAGTTTAATATTAGAATGTTCAAAATCTTCTGTTCGAAATCTTGTTCAAAATCTTCCGTTTCATTATTAATTATTTCTACAAGTTGGTGTGTCTCTTTCCGAATATTTGCAATTTTTCCAGATAAGTTATCTGGATCAGCAATAAGTTTGGTAATTTAATTTCATTCCGAAATGTATCCCAAAACCGATTCAAGATTTTTAGTTTGAAAATGTATGAAAACAGGTGTTGCAATTTTAAAAATTCTCAAAAATACAAAAGCTACTGAAAATGTTTCAAATTTTTGCCATTGTGATAAAGGTCTCGTGCAGTTGTTACAATTGTAGGATCAATATCTTTGTTGAAACCAAATGATGAGGTACAACTAAATGTTTAAAACGATAATTACTATAATTAGAATTTTCGAATTTATGAAAGATTTCTTCTAGCGCTTGGCTTTTACTGTTCCATCTTGTTGAATTTATTTTTTGATGATTACGAAGTTTATTATTTCCTGGTTAAGTATTATTCAGAATATTTCCTCAAAGTTGCGTTTTTTCTATGAATCTGAGGCTTTCCATTGTTGTTAGCATACTTTTTATTTTATGATCGGTTTTTTGTTTTATAAGTTTTTTGTCTGGTGATGTATTTGTTGTATATCTTCGTTCATATTGGTGTTTATAAAACAATTTTTTTTTTAAACTTTTTTTATTGTTATTATTGTTGAGTACTGTTTTGGATGTATAGCCTGTCTTATATTTAAATATTCCATTTAGTTTTAAATATTCCTTTATTAATCTTTATTTTTGTCTTGACAACTATCAAAATATGCTTTGTTCAATAAATAATTCTCCTTTATTCTAATGTACTTCGCTTTTTCCCTCAGCGTTCACTGCTCGTGTGTTACCATTCGGCGAATTTTATATGCCAAAGTTTTTAAATAAAAATATAAAAGCTACTGAAAATGTTTCAAAATTTTTGCTATTGTGATAAAAAGTCTCGTGCAGTTGTTGCAATTGTAGGATCTATATCTTTGTTGAAACAAAAAGATGAGCTACAATTAAATGTTTAAAACGATGATTACTATAATTACCCAGTGGGAAAAAAAACATCTTTAGACGAATAAAAGGCGACTTTTATATGTCTTTTAATAAATTTTAAAAAATAATCAGCCAAAATAAAGACTTGAAAAGACGTCTTCAAAACAGAGGTCGAAAAGACCTCAATCGGTTGTTAATAAGGAAATCATTATTTGCTTAAGAAAATTAAAAATGATTATTGCCAATAGAACCTCACAAAAATGAGTTTTAACCCACAGTATCGTAATTACGATATCTTTGTTAAGGTCTGATTGGCCCGTTTTTTGTTTACAAAATACTTTTATATAACTTTTATGTGAAACGTTTTTGCATAAGAAATTTAATTAAAAATCAACTTTTTTCGGTAAGCGGGTTTATTTAATAATTTATGTAATAAAATAATATATTATGTAAAATATACATAATATAAATGCATATACATATTATAGTATATATATATATATATATATATATATATATATATATATATATATATATATATATATATATATATATATATATATATATATATATATATATATATATATATATATATATATATATATATATATATATATATATATATATATATATATATATTTAGGGCTGGGCAAGTTAACGCGTTATTAACGCGTTAACGCATTAATTAATTAACGCCGACAATAATTTTATCGCGCGTTAACGTACTTTTTATTTTGAAAGTCTAAAAAGTGAAAAGTAAACTTTTTAATTTAAATTTAATAGTTCAATAAACTAAAAAGTGACAGGGCTGCACAAAATTCATCAAAACAGACCTGTCAATCTTTAGTTTACAGAACTATTAAATTTAAATTAAAAAATTAATCTCTAGATTTTATTATTGTAAAAAAATATATTTTTTTGCTAAGTTTTTATGAAATTTTTTTTTCCACCTATTAGTCTTTACAATGAGTTCATTATGAGTTTCTGTCGCTCGTTTTTTTTTAAGATTCACAAGCTTAACTTTATTTTTCTTTTGTGAAACTGTCTGTCAAAGTTTTCGTTTCTCATTTTATATTTTTTTTGCTTATAATTATTATTATATTAATTTATATTAGTATTAATATATTAAAAAAGTTATTTTGCATTTTGTATTTTTATGTTTATTTATAGTTTTGTTTATTTATTTTGTATTGTTTCAAAATTATGTAATAATCGAATTATAATTTAATTATTTATAATTCGATAATAATCGAATCATAAAAGAATTGAAACTTTCGTGCGTATTTATGTTATTGCTTATGCTCAAACAACAAGCAGTAAGTAAATTGAGAAATATTTAAAAATGGAAAAAGGTACCGAAATTTTAAACGGACACTTTTATTTTAAACCTCTTCAACAAGGAGTAGATAGAACTAAAGCTATTTGTAAACACTGCAAAGCGGAATTTTCTTATCATCGGAGTACTTCAAGTTTGAAGTATCACTTAAATGTAATGCACACCGTTGATGCTAACAAATCATCCACCCAAACAAACAGTGGAGGAAACCTTCGGCAGACTACGTTAGATGCAGCACAAGGGAGAACTACAGAGAAACAAAAGAAAGACAAGATAACAAATGCCATTGCAAAGTGGGTAGCAAATTGCAGGCCAACTAGTATTGTGGAAGATGTCGGTTTGAAGAATGTTATTCGGATCGCAACGAATGACTGCACGTATGAGTCTCCGCCAAGACGCACCATTGTAAGAAAAATACATGAACTGTATGAAAACGAGAGGACTATAAAGGCAACGGCATTACAACGTGCACAAACTGTTGCCCCCACCGGAGACTACTGGACATCGCTGGGTAACCATAATTATCTCGGAGTAACTGTGTATTACATTGATGAACAATGGAAACTGCATTCACATGCTTTGACAGTAATGAAGACACAAGAAAGACATTTTGCTGAAACGTGCGCAGAACATTTCATTCATGTTGCACAGCAGTGGGACATTTTAAATAAAGTCAGCACACTTAGCACAGATTGTGCTAGAAATATTGTCGCTGGTGCAAGACATCTGCCTTTTGAACGCATCCCTTATGTCGCTGACAGTCTTCAGCGTTCTGTCACAGTATCTTTGCACAACAGCGCGTTTGACAATGCCCTGGCTAAATGCAGAAAGGTGGTGGGCCATTTTAAACACAGTCCAGCAAGTGCTGCAGAATTAGAAAAAAAACAAATTGAGCTTGGACAAAAGAAGGAGTCGCTTATACAAGACATTCCAACCAGATGGAACTCGACTCTGGACATGATAAAAAGTGTTTGCAGAAACGAACAGCCACTGAGCGATGTCCTCACCACACACAACACAAAAGTTGCTATGCCAACTCCAGCTGAAATGGACAAATTGCAGAGGCTGGAAAAGCTCCTAGAACCCTGCAGGTATATTTTACATCATATATTTCTTACTGACTAGTTTGATTGCATGTGAGAGAATTGATGTGTCTGTATTTGTGCGTAAGCATGAACATGAGAACACTTTTTGTGTGTATAAGTGAATGCAAAACATTTGAGTGAAATGGGTTTTATTTTTTGCAGGTATGGGACTAAACTTCTGGGTGGAGAAAAGTACGTTTCATGCTCTGTGGTTCTGCCTGCTTTATGCCATCTCTCTCGGGTGATGGAGAGCTCAGATGATGACCCGGCCTATGTAGTCAAATTCAAATCTATGTTCAGAATAGATCTGGAAACACGCAAGGAAAATGCCAACATTGCATATCTAAAGGTTGCAACCGCATTGGACCCGAGATTCAAAGACCTCAAGTGTATACCCAGAGTTGAGAGAGGTGAGGTGTGGGTCTCAATCACTAACTTACTCAAGGAACAGAAGGTTATTGCAGATGAACCTGTGGAAGCAGCAACATCAAAGCCATCAAAGAGAAAATTTGCTCTATTGGTTGCTTCATCAGAGTCTGATTCTGAACAAGAGGAAGACTCAATTGAAAACGGTGTGCGTCGGTACAAAGCAGAGCCCACCATCAGTACAGAGGCCTGTCCATTACAGTGGTAGTCCAAACATGCAGGCTCACACAACAGGCTGGCCTCAATTGCACAGAAGTACTTGGCAACACCTGCAACATCTGTTCCTTGTGAAAGATTGTTTTCTCTTGCTGGTCATATTGTACAAAAGAAGAGAGTTTCTTTATTATCTGAAAATGTGAATTACCTTGTTTGTCTTAGTAACTGGCTTGGTGCAGATGAGTAAGTAAAGTTGAAAGAATGGATAAAATTGTTTAAAGTTTTGACAAACCAAAAGTTATGTTAATTTAACTATGAAAAAATAAATTTACGCTATATATATACTACTTGTGGTTTTATTATTGAATTTTTCGTATTTCTGCGATTAATCACGATTAATCGCAAAAAATCATGCGATTAATCGCGATTAAAATATTTAATCGTTGCCCAGCACTAATATATATATATATATATATATATATATATATATATATATATATATATATATATATATATATTATATATATATATATATATATATATATATATATATATATATATATATATGTATATATATATATGTATATATATATATATATGTATATATATATATGTATATATATATATATGTATATGTATATATATATATATATATATATATATATATATATATATATATATATATATATATATATATGTGTATGTATATATATATATGTATATATATATATATAATATATATATATATATATATATATATGTATATATATATATATATATGTATATATATATATATATATATATATATATATATATATATATATGTGTATGTATATATATATATGTATATATATATATATATATATATATATATATATATATATATATATATATATATATATATATATATATATATATATATATATACTGAAATAAATATATAATTGCAGCTGCTTAGCTAAAAAATGTTTATCGGAAGAAGCAAAAGTGGATGGCGTGGTGCCAGTAAGATGGTATCGATATGATCTAGTCTCAATTAAATTAGTCGCAGGTAAGTGTTTTAAAAAAGTTTTACCATTTATTTTTAGACTAATTTTTTAATGTATTGTGCTTGAAGAACGTTGTTTATTACATATTAAATTAAAATATTTATTTTCAGACGAAAAATAAAACCTGTAAACAATTTCTCTCTATATTTACTTGTTCAAGTGCCAGTGAAACGAACGATAGAAAAAAAGCAAGCATTCAGTTACTGAATAGGCTACTGAGTAGGCTTGCAATTTTTTTTTTATATATTTTAAAATGATCGGAATAATTTTGTTGTTTTTATTTAGATGAATGATGAAATTGTTTCTACAAAAGATTGGCTTTTTAACTTTTATGTTAAATATGTATTTCCTTGTTAACTGTTGTCTGTCTTTAATAAAGCAATTATAAAAATACACATAATGACAACAGATTTATCTTTAGAAATGTTCGCAAAGTTTTTGGTTTGGATACAAAAAACCAAGTGAAAATGACACTGGAAAGGTACACATTCTTATATCTATGTTGTTAAGTAAAGCATCCTTATGTTTCAGGCTAAAATAGAGCTTTGACTAATACTTTTTTCTAGTTTAAATGAATAACAACTCTCAAGGTGTATTTGCTGAATTATCTTTTTGTTTTGATAGTCCTTAGTCAATAACGGATTTTTAAATTGTTATGAGTCTACAACACTTAATTTCAGCGAAATTCAATTAAAAAATCATGGTATAGAAGACAGAAAAATATCAATATCTGTTTTCAATAACTTGGTTTTCATAGCAAATCTGAGAGGTGCAAATGTTTAGCTTGATTTAAGTACTACATAATAAAATACATCGTTGTACAGTCATTTTGATGGTTGTAAATTTATATAGCACACTCATTTATATATATTTTTAGACTGTTTACCTTTTGACTCCTGTCCCAATCTAACCTAGTGAGTTCAAAAAAAAGGGACCACTCTGGAAACATGAGTGGATTAAAAGGATCAGCCCTTTTTGAATTAATAGTCGGTAAGTATAATGTTCTCCACTCAACTAATCAAGTTTCGTTTGCTTTTTTTGTATTACATTTAAGCAATAGGCTGTTTTTTATGTTCTCTCCTTTTTTAGAAGTGGTAACCAGCTAGAAGTCGTAATCTGCTCGTATGAAAGGTGAAATTGTTAATTTTATTCAGCAACGCCAAGAAACAGAGCTCGCTCAAGAAACAGAAAAGAAAGAGAAAGATAAAAATATATTCTGTTGAACAATACTGTTGTTTTATTTATAAATTATTCTCCTATTTTTAAACATGTGAAAGATATAGAAAATGCTTCTTCTTTTATATTGACATCTAAAAGAGGTTTTTTTTCTCGACATAGGAATGAGCTTTTTGTCATACTTTGTATGAAGAGTTATTATCATTTTCATTAGATAGAAACAGCTTTTCATATAAGAAAAGTAGAAATACTATGGTGTATAGGATACTATAGTATACTAATAAGTATGGCAAAAAAGTCGTTCCGACCCCGAGAAAAAACACTTTTTTAAATTTGCATATTCGACTAAAAAAAGGCGTCTTAAAGGCGTATTTTTTATGTCTTTTCATGACAAGGTTAAGATAAAAAAGACGTATTTTCGATGCCGAAATAAGATGTCTTTTAGATTTGCATATTCGACTAAAAAAAGACGTCTTAAAGACATCGTAAATAAGACTTTTAAAGACGTCTTTTCGACGTCTTTTTTCCCACTGAATAGAATTTTCGAATTTATGAAAGATTTCTTCTAGCGCTTGGCTTTTACTATTCAATCTTGTTGAATTTATTTTTTGATGATAACAAAGTTTATCATTTCCTGATTAAGTATTATTCAGAATATTTCCTCAAAGTTGCGTTTTATCTATGAATCAGAAAAAGATACTTCTGTTTATTGTAACAAACTGAAGTAATTTTGAGGTTGAATGCAACAACCTGTAATATCACTAACCACTAAAATCAAAATAAGCGCATGAAATTGGTGAAAATTGGCTTGGGAGATTTATCTTTGATCAGTGGCTGAAGTCCTTTATATTTTCATGACATATTTTCTGCTCCGTCAATATGCCCTCGTGAGATGTTTTTAAATTCAAATCAAATCTCATTAACCCTCGCTTATTCTATGGATTAATTTATTATAATCATATTTATTTATTAGTTCTTGGTCTAATGCAGTAATATTTATTAAGTTAGCAATATAAAAAAATCGTGTTGAAGTACAATTTTTTTTCAAAGGGAATGGTGAAGAAGAAGGGTTATTGGAAGGTTAGAGAAGCCACAACCGTTATCTCCGGGGCTAGGATAATTTAAAGACCAGGGGTCAATGTTAAAAAATATTTTACCGGCGTATAATGCTACCAGTGGTCAAATTTACCGGCGTAAATGTTATAAAATATTTTCAAACATTGCCAGCAATAAATTTTCTACCGCTAAAACGTTTACCGTTAAAAAATATTTCGGAAGGACTTACGGAAAACTGCGTTGAAAATCCAAAGATATGAATATTTTGTTGTAGATACCAGTGGTTCAGAATGTTTTTAAATCTTTAACTTGAAAACACTTTGTTTTTGACAACCTTTTATATCTTAAAAATGTTATTTATTCGGATAATAGGTTTCTAAAAAAAAAAAAATCAGGGCATAGATATCTACACGATTGAAAAATATTTTATAACTTTAAATTTACGGCTGTAAAAATTTCCAGAGTAAAATTTCCACCAGTAGCATTTTAAAATTCGTTTTTCAAATTTTTTTCTTAAACTTTACTATTGTTATCAATGCACTGGAAAGCGAGAAAAGTAATTGCTACTTATTTGTAAATTTTTTTTTAAATTTTCAACAAGTTTTTATTTAAAAAAAAAGTCATTAATACTAATATTTAAATATAAAATATTTAGTTGTTTTGAACTGAAATAGTCTGCACTTATGTTGGATTTTCCAAATTGTGCATTTAAACCCATTTATTTCCTTATAAAAGTTTATTTCCTGATGAACTATTGTTATTGACGATGCACAGTGGGACAGAGTGTGCCAAAATACAAAAAAATCACTATCGGCATTATACTCTGAAAATATGTCATAATGGTTAAAATATGTATATTAGAGAAAATATATAGTAAAAAAACATTAAATATTAATTTAAACGTTGTTTTATGCGGTTATATACACGTGAATTTGACGTGTGTTTCAAAACGCTTTTTTGCATTTTTTAATTATCAACTTTCTTACGCTATTATTGTTTTAAATTAATTTTATTGAGTATGATTTTAAAATATATTTTTTTAATTAACTTTTTTTTTTCGCTCTGACTATTCAAAACAATTAAACGTAAGTGTATTCTTCAGTTTTTATGCATCAGTGACAGGCAGTTTTGGCTTTTTTTTTTTGCTACTAACCTTTACTTACCTTTATTAGGTAAA